AATGCAGATGAGAGCTACAAGAGGTTGTAAGCCTTGGTAGGCTTTACTCCTCAGGCCTAAAAATGAATAGGAAGTAAAATAGTTAGAAAGCAATGGGGCTGCACTGTGTCAGGAACAAGAACTGCAGATTTCCATTTAGCAAATATTGGTAAATGCCCTTGACCACAATTAGCAAGGCAGGTACATCACCTTGCTGATATGCGTTTAAATTACTCTGTGTTAGAAATTAAATAACAGAACAGCTTGCACAATGTTCCTATAATAGTCAGCTGTGGATGGCCCATGTTGTGCTTGGACCTTTGCTTAATATTAAGTAAGTTTGGTGATAGTGATTTTTAAAGTGAACTTCCACATTTTTAGTATTTTAGTATCACTTGTTTCAGTGGTTTCACAGAGTTTTGTACTGCTGTCACATAGAAACATCAATACTGCAATGTTTTTTTTTGCTATTTGTTTTTAAGATTGTCTGTAAGATTTTGTGTAGCTCACTGCTGTGGGAGTGGGGTTCCTCTGTGGCATGTTCCTCAAGTCCTCTGGCTCATCTGGGTGAGGGACAACTTCAAAGGAGTTGTTGAATTATTTGGCAGGGGCCACAGTTCGTTCAGCTCGGGGGAGAGGGGTACTTTAAAGGTTTTATAAAGCTGGTCCTGGTGGAGCTGTTCCTGCAAGATGAGCAGGAAGACTCAGTATTAGGATTGGCTTAAATGTGGGGTGTAGTCGTGACTTTGCTGTTCCCCCTCTGGATAAAAGCAGTGCCTCAGTTTCCCTGTCTGTAAAATGGGGGAGCAGTAATTATCTCTCACCGTAACAATTTTCAGAGTGGATGAGAAGCTCAAAGCAAAAGATGTCGCTCTGTAGGAAATCTATGTGAAGCAAAATTGAAATGGATACAGTGCACACTGTATACAGCAAGGTTTATTTGATATTTCAGCTTGTTTGTTCTTTCATTAGGCAATTGAACAATAGCCAAAGAATGGAGAAGATCATATATTTTTTTACGGGATATTAATATTCCTGTGGCTTTGAAGCCAATTAACTAGCAGCAGGTTTGTGGCAAAGAGTGGAACCGCTCTGGATTCTTCCTGGTGGGGCTTTTATGACTGCTACAAAACCATGACTGAATGAGGCTTTCATTATTTCATTTATTTTTGAATTTATTTTAGGTTGCTGAAGAATTAATGTGAATAATTTTCCTGTTTTACCATCTGCTTTAGACTCCATCTCAAAGGGTTCCCAATGAGCGCGGCACGTAAAACCATTTAAAAATGATCCTCTCCATATTTCCTGCACTCAGCAGTCTGCTAATGTGGCCAATAGATCTAGGTGATGGGGCTGCATGATTTAGAGAGGATCATTAGGGTTATGATGAGCTGTGCAACTGTCTTGTTTATTCACAGTTAGCAATTTCATTGCAGTGCCCCTTGTTTCATGAAGAGTTTTGCATTTAACCATTTACAGAGCAGTGCCAGAAACATCCAGCTGGTGACTCTTCCACCCTGGGCTCAGGAGGACGAGTTGCTCCACTGCTTTCCATTTTATTTTGCTTGGACTTTGGGCTGGAAACATTGAGGAGCTCTGGTGAGCTCCCAGTAAGTGATGAGAGGGTAAGTGCACGTCTCTTGCTGGCTTACAAAGGGTTGCTTGCAAGCTGTTGACGTCCTGGCTGTCCAGTCTCTGTCTCCATGTATTTCCCACCCTTCTGGTCTCTTGGGTCTAAGGGTTTTGCCTTTCAGTCTTTGCCTTGATCTGTGCCAAAGCCTCTATTAGATGTCTGTCTACTGGGGCAGATGCTCACTGTCTCTGCGAGGAGAAAGAGGAAAGGAAAGCTGATGTATTTAACCTATATGTCGAACAAAATTATTCATGGCAGGCAAGTGGCTGAGCAGTGTTTTGCAAATTCCCATGAATAATCCATCGATTGGTCAGCACTGGCGTGGGAGTGCTACACCAGCTGTAGGATGATTCACAGACCCAAAAGAAAAAACGTACATATCTTAATTTCCTTCATTTCCCATAAGTGATAGGAGTGGAGGGATCCGTGTGACCGTGCCCTTGGTGATGTGTGTAGATTGATGCGTTCCTACAGGGATGGCTTGGTCATAACAAAGGTGACGTGGCTGTGGGACTGCACCTAACTCTTCCCTTGGCGTCATAGGAGCAGGAGGAGATGAATGTGCTGCCCGCCTCGGCTCTTCCCCCCTGTTCTGTTTGTGGTTCACAAGATAGATGGACGGCCATGTACACAAATATTAGTGGATTTCTCCCTGAAGAATGATGTCACGGCAGGTTTTTTATATTCAGGGTAAAATATTATAATGGCACCATTTCCTTCCTTCAAGCAAGAAAATAGTTGAGCAGATCTATTCTTATGAAAAGACTGTGAGTCTATTACTTTGCTGGGAATTGGATTTTATTTTATTTTTTCTTGAAAGAGGCTGCTTTCCTCACCTAAAAAATATCATATTTTGGCTGGTATACAATTTTTACCTTGTTTTGTAATACAATGCAAAAAAGACTGAATATTTTCACTTTTGATTATATAGACAGAAAGTCTTAGCTTATATTTCGGATTACTGGCATCACATAAATTAAAAACCAAAACAAATGAAACAAACAAACAAACAAAAAACCCCTTCCAGCTTTTAATTTTTATAAACTTTTGTATTTACTTGCCCTTTCCTTGGGGCACCTGTATCAGCCTTTTACTCACCCCGGCAATCCACGTGCTAACGAAGGTGCTTGAAAATGGCCCTGTCCGTCCCCCAGACACACACCTACCACTCGTGGTTTGCAAACCACACTTTGTGTACGGGTTCCTTAATGCTAACATAAACCTGCTGCAAAAGCCTTGACGCAAAGCCTGCAAGTCAAAGAGAGTCCAAACATTGACCTGTTGGACTTTGGTTTGGGTTCTTAACCTATAGAGGCAAAAGAGGCCAAGACTGATCAGGAGGCTGCGGTGGCCGGCGGGTGGGTGGATGTGGCTGCAACACAGGGACATTGGAGTGTGGCCTTTCATTTCACATTAGGATTCTTCTCGTATTTGTTAGATAGAACAATATTAACCTTTTGAATTTATTTAGAAACTCATTAGTGCTTCTTCTATAGTCCATTCTTTTCCTGATTAGCTCTCCTCATTACAATTCAAATTTCTTTCTGCTACATTTACCACATTGTCCTGCTTTCTCTCATCTCTATTGTTGCTCAGCTTAATTTATTAAAGCGATGAAAAAAGGCAGGGGGGGATCGGTTGACATAGCAGCATCCCTTGGTGCTCCAGGAGGAAAAGAGGAGACGAGTCCCCCACATGCTCACCGTGCCCGGGCTGGGGAGCGCCTGGGCATCGTCCCTGTGCCCGCATGGTCCTGTGTTCTCATTTCAGTCGTGTTCTCATTTCAGTCGTGTTCTCATTTCAGTCTCTCCCCAGTTTAAGAGGTTTTAAATAGAATTCACTCTGAAAGTTTGGTGTCCTCATCACAGCCTGGAAACATATGCATTTAATGCCCCACTTCTGGCATCCTGTTTTTAAAGTCATCTTGCATACCTTTAGTAGCATTTCTTTTGTGCTTTTTTTTTTTTTTTTTTTTTTTTTTTTTCCCCTCAGTATCATGATGCAAGTCTGGGAGCTGCTGTAATTGCTCTGGAGTTTGCATATCTCCAGTGAAACGTGAATTGGTATTTCTGGTCTGTTGTAAGACACCTAAGCTGTTCTACGTTTTGGGGGAAGGTGGTGTGGGGATGCTAAGCTTCAGATGTACATTTAGAAATTTTCTGCCCTGCTTTGTAACGTATTTTCTGTTAGGATCAGGAATTTTTGCTCTTGCTTTTTCTGTTAGCATAGTGTTTGTTTCTCAAGAGCGATGCTGCTGTATCCCATGTGCTCGTGATTAAAGATGCATATGCTTTTGACAAGAGATGATTAAATGCAGCCAGATGACTGTAACTGTCCCGGTCCTTGTGGTTTTCTGATTATTGGTATTTGAACATCTCACAAGTGTGAATGAATGTGTTTTCACAGCAGCTAGCATAAAACAGGGAAGTTCCAAAGAATTTTGTTTGAGGCATGAGGGGATTAAGTCACTCAGCAAAGGTTATAGAGAGAGGTTTTGGCAGAGCTACAAAGGGAATTTAAATTTCTAAATTTCTAGTCCAATGCCTTAATCATAAAATCATCTTTTCTCTGAATTCTGTTCTGTTGTAATTATAGTTTTGGCTGGTTTTATGTCCTTTATAAAAACCTGTCTTTCACACATCTTTTGAAACTAAAAAAAATAAGAAGATAAAACAATCATAATTTTCCAAGTGTATAATTTTGGACTCCAGCAGAGGCCTAAAACAAGTAAGGTAATTATTCCACTCAGCTCAGCACCGTTTGGAGAATTAGGCTATTTTACGAATAGTGGTTTTAAAATAAGACACATGAACTGGAAAAAGTTCAGTGAGCAACACGTAAAATAAATGCTTGCAAATATCAGCTGAAAGAGGAAAGATGCTCTCCGAAAGCCTTTGGCGTGAAGGTGATTGGAAGAAGATGAAAAGACTGATCATAATGGGGGAAGTTCAGAAAAATAAAAAATAGAGAGGAAAAAAAAAAAAAAAGGAAAGATTTGATGATTTCCTTTAGGATATGGGGAAAATGCCAGGGCACACTATCTGGGCTGCTCTCATCCCCGGTCCAAGCTAAAGAAAAAGACTTTCCCCAGGGATGAATTTGGCTCCTGGGCAATTGCAGGAGGTCCGGCAGGGGAAGCTGCCAAGAGGCGGTGGGGCCAGCATCGGTGGAGTTGTTAAAGTCTAGACTAGACGTGCGTTTGTTAGTGATGGTTAATTAACTTGTTCCTGGCAATCAGCCACCAGGGCAGGAGGTGGACTTGATTTGCAAGTTGTGATTGCCAGGAAAGTCACCCATAATTGCCTGAGAACTTGTGGCTCTCTGCTTTTCACCTCTGTCTTGTGTTCCCCTGTAAATCTTCGTGTAATTTTTTTTTCTCTCTCCACAGGTTTTTCACCTCATATAACACCATTTTTATGCTTATTACTATTGATGTGATTGAACCTCTGCCACAGTCTGATTTTGGATGCCTGTGCACATGGAGACTGGAGAACATCAGCAAGTCATAGAGAGAGCAGAACCAGAATTACCTATGGCTGCAGAGGGGATGTGGGACGTGGTGGCTGAGGAGAGCACAGTGTGCTTGTATGCAGGGCAGCTTTACAGTATTTTTTTCTAATTTTCTACATTCAGTAGCACCACTGCCACGCTGCTCAGTGCCTGGGGACAACACAGGGGCTGCCCACCAGGGCCAGAGCTGCTGGAGGATCCCACAGCAGCGTCCTGTCCTTGGCTGCTCATCAAACTGCTCCTTGGATGGAACACAAGAAGATTGCAGGCTTGGAGCCCCCACATAGGTGGGAAAACACTGAAAATAATTCCTGTTTAAATGGAGGCATAGGGGTGCATGTAACAAGGTAGACTGGGCAATGCAGATGTAATGTGGAGCCAGAACCTAAAGACCAGGAGGAAAGGAAGTTTCTTTCTTTTGGTCTTCTTTGTGTTCCTGGAGGCAGGACTCTGATGGAAGTTGTCACGCGGCAAGTTTCTGCTCAGCAAATATTGGACTGTTGTTTACTTTTAAGCAAAGCAAATCAGGAAAGGAGGGGAAAAGCAATAATGTTAATTGACTTTTATTACTTCTTGTGTATAGAAATTAAAGGCAAGGTTAAGAAAGCCTGAATCCCTCTTTGGCTCCTTCTAGCATCAGGTTTACCTCTGAAAGGAAAGAAATCTTGGATTATGATCCTCACTGAGGCATGGCATGGAGAAATCCCAGGAGGCTTAAGCTGGGATATTGCAGTGGGAGAGGTTGCTGGATCCACGGTGAAGTTGTTGGGTCTGGAGTGCTTTAGGGGAGGCTGTTGCATTTTAATGGGGGACAGTCTCTGTCAAAAGAGAGTGGTGTAAAATCTGTGAGACAGCAGCAGTTGCAGATGTAGGAAGAGATTTTGGGGAGTGGGTTGTTGCTGAACCGGAGAGGAATAAAAGCAGGAGAATGACATTAGCATATAATTTCTGGCAGTTGTTACAGCGCATAATAACTTCAATTTAAAAGCTTCTCATTTCCTTCACTTTGTGCCTTATTAAGTCTCCAACCTATATTTAATGGTGGGAATATCACTTTTGCTTCCCTAATTCTATGCATGCAATTGATCTCTGTAACCTGCTAGATCTCTATTTGGATTTCCGAAGTATAGGAGGGCTCTCACTCTGTGTCTCGAGAGGTACAAAATTATAACTCAGCCCTCTTATATGGTGCATGTGATTCTTTGGTCCTTTGCTTTCTTGTGGTAGGAGCAGAGTAATGGAAGAGTGGTTTTGTTGCATCTCAGATATTTGTCATGTTTCCAGGGGCGTTTCCAGCATGGCAGAATTCCCCTATATGTAAAGTACAAATTTCATATTTAAAAAATAAAATAAAATCCCACATTTAATTATTTTATGAAACAAACTGTTTTCATAAAGATGAAGCTTGTGAAAATGCATAATTTGGTAAGTTTTCTTTGAGTCCATAGGCTACTCACATTTCTACCCTTGCTGAATAAGTCAGTGCCAACTGCTGCTTTCATTTTCCTGTCTGTAGTTGTGCTGTAGATCTCTTCCAAGATATATTTTTTCTGATGTGACTCACCCAGCTTCCTATGGGAAAGTGCAGCTTATTCAAACTATTCTAAATCTATTTATCCAGGCAAATATTTGGACATCTAAAACAGCAGTAAAGTGCTCAGAAGCCTATCAGGGCAGGAGAGCACACAAAATCTGTGAAATTTTAAGTCGCTCCCTAGTGTGCTTTATCTGGAGGTATTAATTGGCAAAGAGCAGTGTAGAAATTTTGATTCATACGCTCACACATGCCCATGCAGTGAGTGAAAGCTGTGTTTATGTTTGAGCTCCATTTTCCCAGCAATAAATTTAGGCTTACTGCACTGTCAGATGCTTCACCACCACGAAGGGGCTTTGACATTAGGTAGCTGCATGGAGGCCTCTCCTGTGTCACTGGTTCAGTCTCTGAAAGCCATGAGTTGTCGTGAGCTGATGGCTCTCTAACGGAGTCCTCAAAACCAGCTCATGGCACAGTCAAACTCTTCAAGTTATGTTTTAATCCAGAATAAATTTGGTCAAACAATCCAGTTTAAATTTTGTTCAGTTTCAACAGGTCTTGACAATTACATGCTCTCATCATGGAAGAGAGCTCAGGAGAAGATCATCCTGTCTCCCAAGCAAGACTAGCCTCTAGCTTCTGGAGACTCACACTCTAAACCATTGTCAGAGGCTACTGGAGCCCAAACAGGGTGATGGGAGGTATAAATGGCCATGTAAGTGGCTAGGAATTTGGCAAGATTTCCTTGCTGATAGGGCTACAGATGTGAAAGACTGGGCTTTGTTCTCCTGTTTTGGTTTTAAACTTCTGGCTGCCTGAATTCAAGTATTTCTTAATGATTCTGTAATGAAGTCAGAGGTCTGAATTCATATGTTGTTTTTTTATTTGCATTTTTACTACAGTTAGTCTCATTTCCTTGTTGCTAAAGGCCATTAGTGAGGAGTTGGATGGCTTGTCTAGGTTTCTGCTTTTTGTAATTTTCCAAAGCTCTATACATAATAAATCAGGCACACATTTTTGCTTCTGCAATTAACTAATCCACAATGCAACAGGAACAGTAGAATTGATTGAATATGTCAAGATTTAAGCCTCAAGAAAAAAAAAAAAACACACGAAAAATAAACCTATTTGTGGCGATGCTTCTCAAAATGGTCCTCATTCTTACACGGATCTAGCCATAAAATTAGGACAAGTAAAGGATTTTGCCACTACATCACCCTCCAGCCAGTACTAACCTGTGCTTGAAATGAACTTTTGATGTGAAACATTCATCTCTGCAGCACACATGGTTTCACCTTTCCATTCATCTCACCTACAGCTGACAACTCACCTTGCTTCCATTAAGGTAAGATGCAGTCCAGCAGCAAAACTATCAGACCCGTTGTCTACTGTGGGTATCTTGACTTGCTAGTTATCGTTCTTCCATGGCAAGACCCTGTAATTTTGCCTTTGTGAAGACCCCTCAATCTCATTGCTTTGCCTTCCTTCCTCAAGTAAGGAAAATTGAAGCAAAGGATGATTGAAGAGCCTTTCTCAGAAACATCTCTGAAGCTGCTGACTGGCAGTGAGCTGGGATATTTAGTCAAATGTGCATTAAGCTGCATTTCATAAAGAAACTGAGCTCAGTCTGGCCTCTTTTCTTAAATAAGAATATGAAAGCTGCATAATGGGCTCTGATGGCACTGCACCCTGATAATAAAGCTGAATACCAGCCTCCCTCTATACCAGTAAGTGCTCATAGCTCAGAAGCTGCTAAACTAGAAACTATTTACTTACACTATTTTTGGCATTTGTATAGGTTAAAATACTGTCCTTCCTTGTGATATTTTACCCCATGACCCCCACCTTTATTTCTCTCTTTCTTTTTTTTTTTTTTTTTAATTTTTTCTTTTTTCCCTTTAATTTCCATTTAATGTACAGAAAGCCCTGGGTCATTTCTGGGTGTAGCTCCTGTTCTGAGATACTTCTGCCCCTTGCTGGCATGCTCAAACCCGAATTCCTTCTGCAGCTCAGCCTCAGCTAGCTTTTGCAGTTCTGCTTTGGAAAATTGTGCCACAGAGACACTCTGCTCACACCCTCAAATGTGTAAAAGTCCTAAAAATCAGCCCTTACAGAAGGATGAACCTGCAGGGAAAGAGCAAGAAGTTTCACATCAGCCTCCACATTCTTTTTATGCAGGAGTATGTCAGGGGACACTGCCTGTCACAAAAAGCACGTGAACTTCTCCAAGAGAGAAGTTACCCCAAGGGCTGGGTGCTGGAGGGAGCTCCTGCAGTGCTCTTGCACAGTGGCCATGAGATTTTGAGTTTTCCTTACAGAGGGACAACCTAACAAAATTCATACGGACAAAACTCATAATACAGTTTGACTCACTAACCAGCTATTTTCGTGCAACATCCTTCCTCCTAAAGAAGACAAGTCATACAGCAGATGGAGTGCTGGAGTCCTGTTTTCTTCTGAAGGGGAAGAGCACTGGCAGTTCTGCTCTTTGTAATGGTTTCCCAGCTCCCATGTACACCTGCAAAGCATTGCCTGCAGCAGAACTTTAGAGACCATTAAAAGAACATTTTTTGCAACAATGAAAAATTTTATATGTATTTGGTGAATGCGAGAATATTAACTGAATGAGATATTAATTGTCAGTAAAAGAGCAAATGTGACTTAAAAAGTACGTAAAGGTGTTGGAACTTACGAATTATCTGGTAATGTTGGAAGATTAAAGCGCTAAAAATACATAATTAAAACATACATTTGAGGAGGGAAAAATTGAAGTATTCTTGATTTTAACAGATATTTCCTCTACTTCATTCTTATTGTTTTGAGCGGCAAATATCTCATGTGCTGTATTTTCCATTTATTAAGCTGTGCCCTGTTGCTTGTTTGCTACTCTCAGAACCTGCTTTCTGGCTGGAATTGCAGAATGGTTTCTGCTGAAGGTGTATGCAGCATTTGGGGCCATATCCCACCTGCAAGCTGGGCAGTTCATCGCAGTGAGGACCACACGCTTTTGTGCCTGGACACCAAATAGGAGATGACTACTTGGGGAAAGTCAAGGTAAGTTTTGCCTGGTCACGATGATGAAAACCAACCGATGACTTCAGCATTTAACACCCAGAAAGGTTAGGACATGAGTCACACTAAATTTTCTTGTGCTTGGGTTAATCCCTTTGGCACTGCCATGGGTCTCTGGTGCACCCAACGCCTGTGACAAACGGCACTAGCACGGCTGGCAGACGGGAGGAGCTGCCGTCTGTGAGCCCCGATGAGGAAAGTCCTTGTTTTTACTGGGATAAGCAACCTCTCCCTTAAACCCTCACAGCCTGGGTCAGGGAAATACAGGGCTCTGTATCCCTGGGAGGTGATTTGCCTTCCCCTCTGGGGATCAGCTGGGCATTACTCATTGCTGTGCTGGGCCCTCTCTTTGCCCTCTCTGGATAAATGGCTTTGGAAGAGGAGGGCAGGGCGGTGAGGGTTGGAGGGGTTGGGGCAGCCTGCTGCTGGGGCTGGCTGATTTACGGAGCTGGAAGGGAGCGCTGAGGGCCAGCCACTGTGCTAAGCAGGAGGACAGGTTCATCTTGTTGCACCCCAGGGCTGATTTGTCATGGTCCTGGATGAGGTTTGCTCCCTGGACATTGCAGCAGCTTGTGGAGGCTGTGACAGACGGGAGTAAAGGTGAGCTCTCATGGGCAGGGTACAAGAGATCACTCTCTCTCTCTCCTATCTCATCAGTTTGTTTAGAAGCACTCATTAAAAAATGCCATCTTCATGAGACAGGGTTCTTTTGTGATGCTTTCCTCTTTCTGAAGGAAATGTCAGAAATCCTGCTTAAGCAGGAGGTGAAAAGCAAAGGCCCTTTACCTGCTCTCGTAGCTAGCAGAGGAGATCAGAAGGCTGCAGCCCCTTCCATGTCAGTGCCGTGCTGTTGGCAGGACCTGTGCCCCTACCCGATCTCCTAGCGTGGTGGTGTGAACATAATCCCTCCTGATAAAGTTTTCTGGGCCCTGTCTGGATGTTTGAGTACTGAAAGGGGAATCCTATACAAGCCTATGGAAACCAGCAGGGGCTTTTCCAGGATTGGCTCATGCCAGGATTGCACCCTGTGGTGTTTCACGTCCTGTCTGTGAACTTTTTTGGTTCCTTTTTTTTGCTTAAAGAGGATGGATCGAGGCTTTCATAGCCAGTTCATCTCTCAGTTGGCCCCTACACCAGTAGAAAAGGAGAGAAAGGCATGCTGGAAAGAAATAACACAGTAACACCTTCTCGGTGAACTGCAATTAACCTCTGTGTCTTTGTAGCTTAAAACAATGTTACATGTGGAAAAAAAAAAAGGCAACAAAAAACACAAAACCACACAGCAAATACTTTTCCAAAGGCAGTCAAACACCATTGTTCTTTATCGGCTGAGCTCTTTGTTGCCTGGGGCTATCTGCATCATTCCTCTGCTAAAGCACAAGGATAATTTTCTCTCTTTTAGTGTGAAAAGTTTACATTTGCAAGATGTGTGCTTGAAGGACTAAAAGGGGCGTAGTTTGGCTGCATGGTAAAAAGGTAGATTGGTGGTTTCATTAGCTGCATTACCCTAAGCTGGTTGTTACAAACCAGCCTCATCACAGCCCCTGCTGCTGCTAAAAACCAGTGCCCAGGTCTCTGCACACTGACACGTGCTGCAAAATGTACCACTTTGCACCCATTGCTGGGTGTGCTGGTAACAGCTACCATGTAAAATAATAATAATAAAAAAAATCAATTGTTCTCTTCCCCCAATTCACGTTACTAAATTTCAGTTTTGTGGGTGTTTGCCTGTATTTTCCTATTTTAGTGACTCCTAAAAGACCTCATGGGGCAACAAGGATCATCAGGGATGCAATAAATAAGGATGAGATGCTTGGGGATCGCAGTTTGGGGCACAGCAGAATAAACCTAGGCATGGGGTGGGTCTGCCCCATCAGCCTGCCCTCCTGTTAAAGGAAATCTTCCTCTTCTGTGCACGGCCCTGCTGAAAGGCATTCCTCTGCACGCCTGGTTCACCTGCTCAGTGTGTCACAGCCCTCTGCCATGCTCCAAAATAGGACGGGTTATTTTGGATGTGGGTAGCTAGTGAGGGCTGTTACAGTAAGACAAGACTTGTAGGGAGAGGCAAAAAAAACACAAAACAAACAAACAAACAAAAAAAACAACTCCTTATTAGTTAAGGAGATATGGCTGGGGGGGGGAAGGAAAAAAAAAAAAAGCATCTTCTGATGTAGAAGTTTGTCCCCGTCATATGCAGCTGGCTGTTTTTGAAGACAGTGTTATCCTTCATGTAGCGACTCTGGGAGATTGACAGGTAACAACAGCAGCCAGATTGGTAAAAGTTTCTGCAGATTTGCTGTCAATAGCATCTAACAGGCTTTCCCTGAGAATGTTTTTCCTTAAATCTCTTTTTCACTTCAACCTTAAGAATGGTTGGAATATTAGGTTTTATTGATGGAAGAGTTGCACATGAGGCTTTGCTTTCAACCACGTTTTCAATGGAAATAAGTCTGCTGCAACCTGGCTTCTTTTTCTGGTGGTGTTAATCAGTTTCGGTCTGGTTACTCCATGCAAAATGAAAAATAATAACAATTTTGTGAAAAGTGGGGGCTGTCCCTGAAACATGCCATTTTGTAGAAAGCTCCTTTTTTCTTTGGGGGTGGCAGGGGAACACTTGACTGGAAAACTTTCAGCCTGTCTTGGTTTGATTTTTGCCTTTTCTCAGTTTGGCTCTGGTTCCACATCAATTTATTCTCCAGTGGCCCCTTCCTCTCCATCTGCCACTCTCTAATGGGAAATAAATCTCCAGGCTCTTCTATTCCTTACCCTCCTGTAAGTCTTGAGTTCTCGCTGACTGACTGCTGGAGATCATACATCTCCTCTCACCGAGCACTAAAAGTACCATTTATATTTTTTTCCCCCCAAAAATTCTTTTCGGCTGGTGTCAGATACAGAAATGCTAAGAAAATTAACTTCAAGGATTTAAGGAACCCCAAATCCTTCCAATTCTATCCACAGTAAGGGTAGGATCTTTTTTTTTTTTTTTTTTTTTTTTTTTCAATAGAGGTGGGTGCTCTGGTGTCTCTCCTCCCTCAAGCCACTTTCCCGTCTCACACCCAAGCCAGAGCATTTCAGCCCTGTGCGTGATGGGACAGAGGCTGGATGCTGTGCAGGCAGTGGTGGCACAGCACCAACACCACGTTTCCCTGTGTTATGTTTTCCAGCCCAAACCTCTTCCTAAGCAGCTGGATCTGGCTAACCACCAAGATGAGCTGGGATGGGCCTTGGACCATGGTTTTCTTGGAGCACAACAAGCCTTCACCCAATGTCAGTGTTGGTCCTCAGTGGGAGTGGAATTTTGTAGTGCTTTGGAAATCCAATTGCTCTTTTTGAGAGCTTCGGCTCCCCAAAAGCTGCCACACCTGAGCTAAGTGTCTAGCATAGATCAAGGCCTTGGCTATGAAGTCCTCCTCTCTCCAGGGAGCACATCTCCTCTTGGCACATTCAACGGATGCAGTGCCAGCCTGGGACGGGCTGACAGATCCCCAGGGTGCTTGCAATGCACTGGGCAGAATAATGGGACGCAGTTAAGAGTGAGTGCAAGGCGTAGGGAGGTGTTGCTGTTCATTAACCTCTTTGCAGTGCAGAGCTGCACTTGAAGTCATCTTCCTTGCTTGCATCTCCCCCGGGAGGACAAGCTCCCAAGCGGCACAGAGTGACTTCAGCTGGGGCACGAACCCACTGGCTCCTGGAAGCACCTCGGCTGTGCCAACCAGACAGAGCTCCAGGACACGGCGTGCTGCGGGGAGCCACGGTGCTGTCAGGGTTCAAAGGCTGATGAGCCATCCTTCCTCTAAGGAAACGCATGGCAACCTTTGGGGCCACCATCCACACCAACCTCCTGGCTTTCCTGATGGCTCTGGTACATTTTCATCTCCTCCGAATATCTCCATCTGCTCTCAGAGGCGCTGAGCCGTGCTGCGAGTGTGGGATGAAATGCAAAGGGAAAGGGGAAAAAAATATACAATTCCTGTCAGGTAGATGAAAACTCAGTTTTCCCCCTTCTCCTTCCTGCCTCCTGGAGAACACACCGTATGTGGAAGGTGACCTTTTGTCTCCTTCTTCTCCGCCCGAGCTGAGAGCGATTCGGCTGACACATCCGATGACAGATAGATACCAGCATGAGCAAATTGCGCTTGAACTTGCTCCAGAGAAAATTGTTACAAGGCACGGGCACAGGCTGGGCTGCATTAGGGAGAGCACAGATCACAGTCAAATGTTTGTGTCATTTGCAAACGCCACTGTGAGGGGATGTGGGGGGGGGGTGAACAGATGAACGTTTTGAACTCTAAAGGTTACTGTAGAGAATACGAAATAGGGCTCTGTGTTTGACTTTTGAAGAGTGTTCTCCATGTGGGGAAAGTTCAGGTGAAATCAGGTTAACCCCAACCACCTGGATTTTTTTTCTTTCAACTTGTTTTATTATTTATTTATTTATTTATTCATTTTAAAGTTGTTTTCTTGTTGGTACACCCCCACTGCAGAAGTTCCTGAAATCTTGAAATCTTGATGTTCAAAGTAAAACTTTGGTTGATATGCATGCTGTCTTGCTGGTATGAGTAGAAGCCAAGGGCAATAGATTAAAAAACAAACCCAAAAAGAATCTGTTTATGGCAATAAAACTCTGATCACAAATCCCAGATGCAAAAAAAAAAAAAAGAAATTTAAATGTAAGCACTCTGAAAGCACATCCTTGCCTGTCCAAATAGCATTTCCAGGCTGATCTATGTTAATGGTTTCAGTAACTCATTAATTCATCAGGATTTAATGAAGAATTGTGTGTTCTGGCCACCTCCATCTTTCTGCCATTTGGGTCTTCCTGCAGAAGAACAAACCTGAACCCTGCCAAGCTCTGCCCTCAGGGCAGGGGAGGACCACCTTCCCAGGTCCTTATTTAAGAGACTAAGAATATTTTAGGATTAAATGTATATCATGTTAATGATTTTTTCCCCTCTCTCAATGTACCTGTCATGGTGATCTCATGCCTCTCCAGCCTTTGACCTCAGACAGACAGTCATTTATGGGGCCGGTAATGTTCACTCATCCTTCAGGATGCTCAGAGCAGCGGTTTCGCTCCCTCCACCAGGCACCTATTGAATCTCTTCGCGCCTCGTCCATTAAAAACCTGGCCTCTGCAGCCCACAGGACAGCGAGAGATGAATGGTGCTGGCGTGCGGCCACGTCGAAGGACAGAGGCAGGATCAGCCTGCCGTGGACAGGCACAGACGAATGGAACCTGCAGGATGGGCACGCAATTACCTCGTTTGCCAAACTCATTACAGGCAAGTTGCAAATTTCCAGCGTGCTGCCCCTGGCCTCAGAGACAAAGCTGTCAGCTGGTTAATGAATAATTCCAGGCCAAATTCAGGTAGGGCTGGAGAAGGTGGAGGTTTTGATGAAGTTGGTTGGCTTGGCCAGGCTGACGCCAGGGTCTCTGGCCCTGTGCATGGTGGCTCGATCCCCAGGAACACCTGGGACAGCCTCTGACCTGTGAGTTGCACGAGAGCCCTGAGGTCACGTTGGGTGTTTGCTCTGAAACCTGCTAGAGCAACATCCTGCAGTAGTGTCCTCACCGCTCGTGCTCTGAGCCTTGCTGATTCCCAGGAACAAATTACATGTCTGGGAGCAAAAGCCAAATCTGATCCTATGCCACTAGCATTAAAAACCAGTAAAATCCATAGCACGAAAAAAAAACAAAAAAACTTTTGTCTCAACAAAGAAGTACAAGAGTATTTGGGTGATTTGGGGAAATGCCTGTATTTCAGATGCTGGATGCTATTTTGACCTTGGCACGTTGGTTAATGTCCAGTTACAGTTTCTCAGGGAGGTGCATGGCCACGCTCTGAGAGGGAATCCAGGTAACATTGCCTTTATATGCCATAAAAAGCTGAAAAAAAAGGAATGGCTGGTAGTGCCCAGCAGTACGTTTCCAAGCCCCAGGACTGCTGCTTTGTGTTCCTAATTGCCACCTACAGGCACAGACCCATGAACTCCTGACCCACAAGTGTGCAGGGCTTTGTCCCCTGGTCCCCCCTGCCCCACAGCCCCTGGGTGGCTGGCAGGCAGGATGAGATGAGATGAGTTAGGATGAACATCCAGCTCCCGGGAGGCTGCCGCAGGCTCGTTCCTCTTGCAGCCACCAGCCGTGGGGTTGCCATTGCTGAGGTGGCCCCAGCCAGCAGCCTGTAGCCTGAGCAGGCAGCCTGGGGAGCCGTCTGAGAGACAGAACATCCTCCAAAATGCCTGTCGTGGCTGTGAAGGCTTCTTGGTGGTCCATGCCCCCGTGATGGGCTGCTATGGGAAATGACATGTGGATTTTGAAAGCCTTTCATGTTCCTCGGGCGTACTGACAAAAACTGCATGTTTCCCCTTAGGCTGCTGAAGCAAAAGAGAGTATATTTCCTCTCAACTAGTAAAACCCCAAAATATTTTATTTTATTTTAGTTCAGTTTAGTTTTATTTTGTTTATTTTGTGTTGCTGCTGCTGTGAGAAAACAACCCATCCTCCTGGAGTGTACCAGGGGGCTGCAGGTGTCTCCCATCACCTCAGGATTTCCTCAGCTTTCCTGGGTGCGTCCCACCTCCTCTCACCCTTGCTGTGGTTTTAATGCTGGTACCATGTGCTGATTGTCCTTTCTCCTTCCCAGGGCCTGTTGTCACCTGGCACCCAACCTGCTTTAGGTGAAGGGTGGAAGCTCCAGCCCCAGCCAGGAATTGCAGGACCCCAAAGTCAGCACCTGCTCCTGGCACCCAGCAAGGGTCTGGGACTCTCAGGCAAGAAATTTTGCTTTGCTTGTTTCTTGGGCATGGGCCATGCAGAGTTTCTCCCTGTTCTTCTGGGGTCCTTCACCACCCTCATGTGGGATCCAGATTCACTGCTTCCTAGCTGTGCTTCTCTGTGCTTTGTGGTCATGATGCGTTTTTAAAAGATAACCCAGAAGCATTGCACGTCCTCTTGTTCGACAGGTGGAGAACCAAGGAACAGAAGAGCTGTGAAAACTTTCCACCGAGGGTTGTTTTTTTTTCTTCTTCCCCCCAGCTTGAAAATTGCTGAGGCTGATTATTTATCTGTTTACAGCACTTATTTTTTCTAGTGGGTTTTCACAGGCTTTTGTAAATTCAAATCTGTCCCGGAACGTCTCAAATTGTGGGATGTTTACTAGGGAAGAGCTTGAGACTGGGCACTTTTCTGCCTTGTTCCTCTTACAGCTTTAGTGGCAAATGACACCAGGGTCATCTTCCCATCAGAGCCCTGATCCGTGGCCAACCCAGCCCCCGCTCTGTGCTGATGCTAGGGCCTAGGGGTGTGTTGTGAAATGCTTCTGACAATTAGCAGTGAATTCGGAGGTGTTATTTCCCTCCTGCACTTGGCTCAGTGGTGTCTGTTCCTTACAGCTCACAGCCCACGAACTGCGAGGGCTTTGGTGAACATGATGCTCCCCCATGGCTCCATTTTGAGACATTCAAGCAGAACTTCACCGCCTGAGCCTGGGGATGATGTATGGGAATTTTGTCAAAATCTTGTTACTGAAACTGCTGGCTTGAGCTTATAACGTTTCCTGTCTGATTATGTACATGGTTGGAGAGTTAATTTACTCTGTAATTAACTGCTTGCTGGTTTGCCCTTGCCAATCTTCCCTCCTGATGTTGTGTTTTATGACAAGGGGCTTAGTTCTGCAATGTGTATCATCTCCCCTTCATTTCTCTTTCTAGGCACTGTGTAACTTGATTTTGGGGAGGGTGGCTGAGGCAGCCCACCCAGGCTGCAGTGAGCTGTGCCGTACTATGCATGTTGCTGGGCTACTGAAGTAAGACTTTGCTGGTCATCATTTTTTCTTACCTGGAGCCAGGTTCTTGCTTGAATTCTGTGCATTTGGTGTCCTGTGTGGTCTGCGCTGGAGCAGAGTAAGGTTTTCAAATGTCTGCGACTTCTTTGGCTGGGAATAACCCATGGTGATGGCAGGTCAGTATCCTCTAGTTCAGTTACCTTCTTCCTTCTTGAACTCCAATATATGTTTTAAAACCAATCTAACAGCTCACCATAGCAGCTTTAAAACCTATCCGTCCTTGTTCCTCTTCTACCCCATTCCCTCTGAGCCTGCTCATCTCACTGCATCCTCCCTCACCTCCTTTTCCTGTGTCTGGCTTTCAGCTGCTCCAGGCTATGATGAGCCACCACTCATGCCTGCCAGCAATTTCAAAGGATTTCTTGAATGTCAGTATCATTTAGAATGCTTTTATCCAAAAATATATGTGCTCCAGGAGGACTTCTATGAGTTGGAAGGCACCAGGTGGCATTTTCAAAATGGTCTGTGCAGCAGAGTGCCTCAGGTCCTAGTGAGCACCAGTAATGAAGGGAGTCTTGATCACTTATATGCTACTTAAAATCACTGCCTGTTGTCTTGAAGAAGTGTAGGCAAATGATGGAACATCAGTATGCAAGGATTTGCATTTCTTTCCTGTTGTCCAAACCAGAAAATTATCTGTTTATGTAGTCTGTGGAGTTGTTGCGTGTTGTGGTTACTGAATGAGTTTCCTGTTGGCTAGGAAGAGTGGCTTGGTGACAATTATTTTGGAGATGGAGGCTTGGGGTGGAGTGAAGGTGTGGTTTTCCAGCCCTCTGGTCAGGAGGCTGAAATGACTGCTTTCAGGATGTACCCTTCTTCCCCAGAAGAAAGAAACCTTAGAAGTAGTTTCTAAAAGCTGTGGTTCTCTCCAGGACTGTAAAGAACCAAGCTATAGACTGTGGGTTACGTGAGCGTAAAGCTGCCCTAGAGCTGCAACATGACAGACCAACAGCCAAAAACCCCTCCCTGCCCCGCAGCGATCATGCTCCAGTGACCAAGTACAGGTTGTGAGCCAGCGAGAGGGTTGCTTTAACATCTGAGCAGGTGGAGCAGAGGATGGCTTGAAACCTTCCAGTTATGGGAAATCTGACTCATGGAAACCATTGGATAAATTTAAATACATTATTCTAGGTTGGAGGAGGAAGCCATCTGGGTAAGTAGAGGGACTTGCGTTTCTTAGTGAAGGAAGAGCCCATTCAAATGACAAAAGAACTGTCCCGAGCCTGAAAATCTGACAGACCTGAGATAAAAAGACCAGTTTGAATGTTACTGATCTAATGTTTGCATTTCAAGAATCCAGCTATGGGAAATAATATTTAAAACCTTTCAAAAAATCATAAAAGACCTTTGCTGGTATTTGCCAGCTGTATGAAGCAAGAAGACCTCAAAATTTCATCAGAACTTCACATTATGAAATCCTTTTCAGAGACTTTTGAAGAGATCTTGCATTTGAACTCTAAGTTCCATGAAAGCTCCGCTTTGAACAAAAAGCTGGGAGAGAAATGGGAAAATTGCCCCATGGTCAGATGGCAGTGGGCTGAAGCAGACAAGGCAGTCTGATTTCAACTTGGTTTAGAGAGTCAAGACTCTGGTCTGCAACCTGGCTCATCCCTGTGGGTCGGGGTTAAGTGTCCTGGGGACCCAGGTGGTCTTCTCATGGTCTTCCTCCACCTGTGTCTGCCCAGGTCCCATAGCCGCTGGGTGCACAGCCTGGTGTCCTGGCTCTCTCTCCTGGCACTGGCTTCAGATGACATGCAAGTGGTGTGCTAGCAGCATGCTCAGGTAAACTCCAGCCCCAGTCTTGGCGTGTCACACAGCAGCTATTAATTTCACAATGAGTGGGGTCCCATGTGGCAGGATCCCTCCTGAATGCTGACTGAGGCCAGGCAGGGGGGTGGCAGCAGTGGAGTTGGGGAAGAGATGAGACGGTTGATGTGGGTAAGGAAAAGGGGGGTGTTTGTGGCTTACCCAGTGCCTCTGTGAAGATGAAAGCAGTTGGGGGAAGATGATCCAAAGTCGATGGCTGGGGAAGATGACCCAAAGTCAGTAGCTCGATGCCTCTTGCTGTGGTGATGGATTGACAGCCACAAAGCGTGTAATGAAAGCACCCTCTGTCATCATCTCCTGGCAGTGAATGACATGGGCTGCTGGTCCCGATGCTCCTGGGGGCTCGGTGACACCAGCAGCACCCAGTAAGTCTCAGCTGTGCCCAGCGTGGAGCAGTGCAATCGCTGAGGTGACAGGGGAGCCCAGGGCTGGTGCTCCAGCATCCAGATTTGCAAAAGCTCCATGCAGATACTGCTACCCACAGGGCTTCCTGCCCACCCTGGCTTTAGACAGTAATGGCAATTTGAAGTTTTATTATGTTTTTCACAAGCATAGATCTCAAAGCCCTGTGGTACAGGCTCATCATTACCATCTTACAGATGGGGTCGCTGAAGCATAAAGAAATGAAATGACCTCCCTGGAACCATTAACTGGGCAAATGATCGGGCTAAAAATAGAGTCCAGATATTCAACCTTTCAAGCAACCCATCACCATTCCTAACTCAGAAGAAAGGTGCCAAGGAAGTTAGTTAAAGCAGGTAACAAGTATTCAACTACATGTGGTTACTGAACCAGCTTGGTAAGAGGTGTTCACGAGTATTCCACCTAGGATGCTCTGATACCCAACACAGTTTTGGAGAAAATACAGTTGACAGAAAAATCAGTGAGCCACATATGGCTGTGCTGTACGTCAGTCACACGAACCCTAATACATTCAGAAGTTCCAAATGCCTTTTAAAGCTAATGGTCTGTGCACTAATAGCTCCTGGCCCTGGCATCCAGGCTAGCAGCTGGTGCCGCTAATTGGTAGCCCGGAGGATGAGCACGTGGGCAGTGGGCAGGCGACTGGATTTCAGGAGCAGCAAAAGGATTGGGATTGCTGCCTTGCTAATTCTGTCGCTCGGTGTAGTCTTTAATCAAGATGAAAAGTCAAGAGACCGTGAGGTGCTGAGAAACAACAGCTTTGCCTGATTACGGGAGCCCAGCTCCCTCGGACCTGACAGGCATTGCCTGGAACGTGCAGGCCAGCAGCAGCTTGTGAAGCCACCCGAGCTGCAGCTGCTCTTCTTCCCCAGCCGTGTCTGCTGGACAGCGCTAGAAATAGCATCAGGAAATGATATGTCTCTGGCCTTCTGGGGAATGCGGGGTCTATTATTTGAGGTGTGGATGTCAAGTCACA